CCGAGGTCAGGCTTTAGAAGTCCCTGTATAAACACACAGGGACTGACAGGGGATAACGGGGAAAATTCCTGAAATGACACCACCATGCCAGTAAGGTTGGTGCTCCCAACTCACCCTCATCTTCAGCGAGTTACCTGCCCTTGGAGACAGCCAGAGGCAGTGACTGTGCTGCAGCAGCCCCAGTGGCAGGGCCAGGGCCAACACTGGAAGCTGAGGCCACACGGCACACGGTGGCAGAGCAGAGCTCTGTGCATTCCCGTTAGCCCACGTTGCCTCTCAGGTGTCTGGAAATGACTTAGTGAATTTCAGGGCGTGCTGGGCTGCAAACATGGGGAGAGCCTGGTGTTTGGAAACCACTTTTTGCTCCTTCTCCTGCTGCTTCTTGCATCAGCCCCCAAGCCTGAGCATCCTCTTCCCCCAATCCACAATGTGGGAAGTGCACCCTGAGGTGTAAACCCTTTGGACTGGGGTGCAGGTACAGATGTTGAGACAAATCCATGTCAGGGAACCCCAGGGGAGGGGAAACATTTGCTCCACAGAGCAGAGCCCAGCCTGCCCAAGAGGTGCTGAGGTTCTCAGAGGACATGGGCACCTCTGGCAGCCTTGACTCTCTGGGGATTAAGCTGTACCAGACGACTCAGAGAGAAAACAGCATGGGAGAGCAGCGTTGTGGAGGGAGAGGCCCCAGGCGGTGCCTTGGACTCCTCCACCCCTTCCCACTCCATGCCAGCACATTTATCCCGCGTTGCCATCAGCATCATCTGCATTCACACGGAAGGGGCAGGCTGGGATGGGCACAGGGCAGAGGAAGGGTGTGCTCTGCCCACCACCAGAAAGGTTGCCTGGAGTCATCCCAGAGCAAGGAGACCGGGCAGGACTGGGACCGTATCTGGGACTGCACTTGTTTAATAAGTGCTCCCTCTCCTGGGCTGTGATCATGCTGTCCCAGAGAAAATTCAAGCGCTTTGGCAAACTGGGAGGTATCTCAGGCTGGACAGGCTCCTGGAGCAGGGCAGTGACCTTCCCTTGGCTCTGGGCAGTCCCAGCTCCGCATGGGAACTGCTCTCCAACTCCAAAAAGCTCTTGGGCACTCAGTGAAGGTGTCATGTTTGAACATCCCCACACGTTCGGTGCTCACCAAGATACAGCATCATGCTCTGCCTGGATAGAAGCTCATCTTCTCCCTTAAGCCCTTGTGGACCTAAGAACTAGAGAAAGATGCTGGGAAGAGATTTGGCCATTCAAAATCTTGCCAACACTAATGTGGTTAAGAGGAATGAGCTATCACCGAGGGCCTTCCGTACTGTGCTGGGAGCTTCTGAAGGCCAGAAGGGACAGTCTGTGTCAGCTTTCCATCAGCCTTCAACTCCAGGGGCTTCAAAAGCAGAGGGGATTTAAAAGGAAAATAAATAAATAATGCCACTTCCTTCAAAGAGTGAAAAGGTGGGAGATGCACCTAAAGGATGAACAGAAAAGGTTTCTCCCGGGTAGGCTATGACTCAGAAATGGCATTTTCTACATTCTAATAAGCGATGTCAAGTCAGAGGTAATTTATTCATGGCAAGCTGATGCAGTTGCTATGGAGAGCATAATAGGAAGAAACTCTTTTTTAATGCGTAATGTATTGAGGAGGAAAGCGTTTGTCGAAGTTAAAACCTTGGTGTGAGGATAAAAGCGGCAAATGATAATTAGGAACATGGAAAAAAAAAAAAAAGCTGTCTGTGAGTACTCTCACCACCACTGTGAAATGCAGGGCCTGATCTCATCCTGCTCATCTTCCCTTTGGGGGAGGCAAAGGACCAACCGACCCCGGCTCAGGGTTTCCCACTCAGGAGGGTCCAGCGCTCCAGGAAGCAGCTCTGCTGATTTCGGAGCAGCCAAGAACCAGGAGAGCTCTTGGCTTTGGGTGATTCATGGGCTGGGTCCACCTGTGCTGTGGAGACGAGGGTGCTGCAAGGCAGAGGAGGGAGTTGGAGCAGATGCCCAGAGCACCGTGGTGCTGCGTGGTGGGTACCTGCGTGTCTCTGGGTACTTAAAATTCAAGTCTCCTTGTGTTAGGCCAGCCAGCAGCCTGGAAAGGCTTCAAGGGAAAATAGGCACAAGGTGTATTTTCAGACTAATTTGGTCATCCATGTCTTTCCCCCTCCAGCCATTGCAGCATTTCCTCTCCCTGCATCCCAAACCTTCCTCCTCCAGGCTGCTTTCTCCTCCCCTCCCAACTCATGAGGGCTGAGATCACCTTTCCCAGCTCACGTTGTCCCTCTGTCCTCAGGATAGTGGTTATTTGGTGTTGGTTCCTTGCTAATCTTCCTGACTAATCTTTTCTTACTAATCTTTTCCTTTGATTCCTTACTAATCTTTCTGATACAGACGCCGGGCCCAACTGTCTTCTCTGCACCAAACAGCTCTCCTGGGCAGAGCTGTGGCTGGGCAATGCAAGCACGAAGAGCTTCATCAGAGCCTGGACGTGCTGGAGATGACTGTTGGGTAATATGTGGAAGGGCTCATCTTTGCAAATATGCAAGACCCCAAAGAAATTCTGGCAGGGTAGACCCCTGGCCAAGCTGTGCTGGGGACCACCACAGAAAACCATGAGCACATACCAGCTTCGCATCAGTTTTCACCAGTGCGAACATGGAGGAACTCAAAAAACAACATCAGACTGGGGATCCCTGGTCATGTAGTCAGAGAGAGCTGGGCACCCTGTGCAGGCTTCTCCTGGGGCTCTATCCCACGTGCCACATGGGAAACCCTTCGAGGTGAGTCTGTGGGAGCTGCTGACCAGAGCACCTTCCCAACACCCTAGAAGACATTGCTGGTGCTCTGGCAACGACCAGGCACCTCACATCACATCTTCTGTACTTAACAGTCCTGTCCTCAGCCAGCTCACTGTCTCACACAGAAGACAACCCCTCTGAACAAAGTTTTGGGGACTCCTGCCCTCAGACAAAGGCATCAGACCTGTTTGCTGCAGTGCACGCGTTTTACGAGCAAATGTCACGAGGTGCTGTACAGATGGAGCACATAAAGATCTCCGATCCAAGATCTGCTGTCTGCCAGAACAGGTGAGCTGGAGGCAGGGGCAGAGGGAATCTGTGAGATAACGTTGGTGATGGCTGGTCTGGGGGATGCCACACAAAAAATGCTGGGAGTCACACGAGCGATTTGAGCCGGGCTCTCGGCTGTGCTAAGCCAGTGACACAGCAGCTGCCGAGATGTGGCCAAAGGGATGCACAGGAGGGGTCTTTCCTTGGGCACAGGAGTGGTGGGAGATCCCCCAAGCCCCCCTGAGCCCTCTACCATTTGACTGACCCTCCTCAGCCGCAACATCTACTGGGCAGTAGGAATAAAACCCAGCAATGGTTTCTCCTTCATTCATACGCCTGCTGCAGTAGCTTTGCTCAGAGCATGCAAAGCAAGAATCCCTACCTACGGGGGAAGGTAAAACCCCAGGGATTTTCTTATGGGCACATAATACTATAATAATATTTATTATTTATTCTATCCTGGATGCAGAAGGGCAGCATTTCCTCAGGAATGAGGAGCCACTGTAAAGCCAAAGGGGCAGGGGCAGCCCCTCGGTGTTACACGGGAAGGTGACTGATGACACCGCTCGCTCCCTGGAGCCTGCCTGTCATTTGTATGACAAAATGTCATCTAATGGGGAATTTCTCAGTCAGACGGGGAAGTCAGCCAGTGCTTCCCCTTGGAAATGTCTGTCTCCAGTTATTCATGATGATAATGAACTTGAATTGCTTGGAGTGCTGATCCTGGTGCCCAGCACCTGCCTCTGACTGCTCTCCCCTGAATTGTAGGTTGTTTTTTTTTAATTTCAGACAGCACGGTTCAGGCGCTGAAGGACAATAATAAAAGCCAGGCATATTCACTGCTTAGCCTTGAGTCATTTGCCTCTAAATGAAGCATCTCTCATATAACAAATGGTCCTTTCCTGGGCCATATATTTCCTTGCTGTTTAAAGTGCCAGACGAATTTGGCAGACTTTCCCCAGCTCCTGCTGGTTTATAATGAGGAATGGGTGATGTTCACCTGAAAACTATTTCCCTGATGCAACTCAGGATTGTTACAGACACAAGGATTTCTTCCCTCAGAGAGTCAGACTGTTTTCCCCTGAGTCAGGGGTGTTTTTGCTTCAGTAGCTCACAGAAATAGTCTTATATGTTAAGCCGGTAAGGAAGCCAGAGACTGACAGAAGCAAACATTAGAGCATGAAGTCTTCCTGTGGAAGAAGCAGATCCCAAGGTCACCATCATCTGTAAGTTTTCCCCCACATGGGCCAATGAATGCAATCCCTTTATTTTGGGCAATGGACCTCATTCACATGCCTTGTTCTGCCAAAAAAAAAATAAAATAAAATTCCCAGTCACATATTAGGGAATGGTAGACCTGCCCCACACAGAGAGGGAGCCAGGAGCAGTAGCATGAGCAAGCATCCCTGAGGATGTGGCTCAGTTAAATTGTTTTTTCATCTAGTGTTTCAAAAGGGAAGGAGCAAGCTCCTGCCCTGAGCTCTGAGGCAGTGGGATGTGGACGCCGCAGATGCTGAAATACCTGCCCTTGACAGAAGAGGTCACAGGACACAGAGGCTGATTTTTACCAGAGGAAGAACCAGAGAAAATGAGAAGGGAAAGACATTGGTGTTTGTTCAGCTTTCACATAGTGCTGGGGAGTCCTGGTGCTGGCTACCGTGGTCAGTCCCCCTGCCTGGCATCACCTCGTTCCGTTACCAAGTAACCACCCGAGCATCTTCCAGCTGCCCCTGGCAGCCACTTCCCAGCAATGGGCCACCAGCCGCCGGGGGCCCC